TATTTTAAGAGCTACTCCCTCCGTCCCACTCTTTTTGTCCACTTTCATTTTTGCACACCATCCAATGCACTTCTTTAATCCATTTTATCTTGTAATTTGTATATTAAAAAATTATAAAAATTATATATTAATAATCTATATGTTAAGACAAATCAAACAAGATCACACATGACTATTTTTAGACTTACACATTGAGAGAATTTGATGAGTCAAAGTGATTAGATGAACAGTTCCAAAATTCAAAACTGGACAAAAAGAGTGGGACGGAGGTAGTATTATTTTTTAAATGATTTAAAGTTTGTGAAACATTTAAACTTGAATAAAAGAAGATGCCTTAAAATATATTTGCATGTTATATATATCTACTGGTTATTTGCCACTCAACTTTATACTGAGCGTGTGATATTTAACTGCATGCAAGTACTAGCAAATAGAAAAAAATCCTTTTTCTTAAATTACTCCCTCCGTCCCACTCTCTTTGTCCACTTACCTTTTGGCACACCATCCAATGCACCTCTTTAATCCATTTTATCTTGTAATTTGTATATTAAAAAATTATAGAATTATATATTAATAATCTATATGTTAAGGCAAATCAAACAAGATCACACATAACTATATTTAGGCTTACACATTGAGAGAATTTGATGAGTCAAAGTACTTAAATGAATAGTTCCAAAAGTCAAAAGTGGACAAAGAGAGTATGACGGAAGTAGTATTACTCTGTATTTAAAAATGAATAACTAGTTGAACTTATTTTACTTTGAGTTGGGCTTGAACCCTAAATTATATTTTCTATTCAATCTCATAATTATTTTTGTTTAATTAAAAGTTTGTAAAACTTCTTTGTGAAATTAGATGAATACATGATTATGTGTAATTAGATGAATACATGATTATGACCGTGACACTAATTTAAAACGGGTTGGTTATATTGTCAAAAAAAGATTAAATCGAAGCCACAGAAAAAGGTCGCGGATAGGTTCCTTATCCGACCTCCACCAAACCACCAACTACTGCTACTATACTATACACTCAATTCAACATCAAAACTTGAATCCAGAAGAAAACACCTGATCGAGAAAAGAAGCAGATCGACCTAGAGAGAAGAAAAGTATGGCGTCTCTGAGCTTTACAGCTTTCAGTTTGAGTTCGAAACCATCATCTTGCAGCGTTCGGATGTCAAAAAGATCACCAAGGCAGCTTCAATCGGCGGCGGCAGGTACAGCCGCGCCCAGCCCTAGCGGCGGCAGCGGGGGAGCGAAGTACAAGGGAACGCACATGAGGGAGACGAAGCTGGCGGAGATGATCGAGAAGAAGGTGATAGAAGCCAAGGAGATATGCGGGGAGGACGAGACTTCGGACGAGTGCAAGGTGGCTTGGGACGAGGTGGAAGAGGTGAGCCAGGCCAAGGCCGATCTCCGCCTCAAGCTTCAGAAGAAACAAGATCCTCTCGAATTCTTCTGCCAGGACCACCCCGAAACCGACGAGTGTGCCATCCCCGACGAAGAAGAAGAAGAAGATTGATGTGATGCTCCTCAATTGGAATTGAAATTGACGATTTCATCTCCCATGTAAGCTATTGTAATAACTGTAAGTGTGCTTTTGTTTGATAAGATTCCATATTACGACTGTATGATGCATAAATCAAAACCACCGTTCCTGCTTGTATTGTATAACTTAACCGTTTCCTTCCATCTCTGTATACTCCCTATCTGTTTCGCAAATCATCCCCGCCGGAGATCGCTTTTGAGACCCGCCGGTACCCTAGCCAACAGCCAGGGCATAGCCGATTTTGGTCTGGCCTTCGCTTCCGTTCCTAAGTAATGGGCTTCTTTGCTCGTTTAGCGGACCAGGCCTTTGTGTTTGTTCGCTAGTCAAATTTGGGCCTGTTCGCTGGCAAATTCTTTTTTTAAATGGTTCTGATTATTATATGTGTTGGGCTGGACTTCAGACATTGTACATTTGTTACCTTCATCTTATAAACAAAGGAAAGTGCGCATCAGAAGGCAATTACGTGAAAGAAGGTAAATAAAGTATGATCCACATGTCCGGAAAGTAAACAATAATCTCAACTGACCGATAGAGATAGAGAGTGAGATCTGTTTCACAATGTTCTTTTAAACTCTCTCTCCTCTTGATTGCTTGAGCTATAAAATAACGAAGTGTGGACGGGGCCGGGTATGGGGTGGGGGCTGGTTTGGTTTGGGGGATTAGGTCAAGATATGGTGGGTCATGTGTGTATCACTTCAAATCTCTTTGTGATGCCCTTCGCATTTAGCATTTCTTGGCTGTATTTAGAGACAGCAGCTAACACACACACATTCATTCCGTAACCAAAAATGTAGTGTGTATAGTAACGATTGGCTCAAAATGACCCATTCTTTCGTACATCAGAGGCCTAGTCCAATACTGACCTCTTAGCTACTAAAATAAAGCAAAATGGGTGGTGAAAAACTGGCCACATTTTGCTATGCTCACTTGTAACCCCCTCCGTTATTTATGCCAAGTATATGCCGTTCCTCCGACTCAAGTTGGGTTTTATCAACCCCATAGTAGTTAGGCCATATGTTATCATGCGTCAGAGAGGTTCTCCCTCACCCCTCCTCCTTAATAAGAATTCATTTATTAATTAAATCTGAATGAAAATAAATTATTAAATAAAAAAATTACATCAATAAAAAAAGATTTTAATAATAACAACATAAATAAAAAAATTAATAATTACATTATATTACGAAAAAAATTAATGAGTATTTGAGCAACTAAAAATATGTTCAACCAAACTTGCCGTTAGTGCATTGCGAGTCTCTCGGCTTTGAATTTATCAGTGGTTTCTTTGTTTCTATTCTTCGTTGATTTCTTCGTACATAGGCATCTTCTTGTCAGGCTTGTATTGACAAATTGCAAATTAAACCTTTGGATTGTGGTTCTCTATAATCTTATGATGAAGAATAATACATGTATACATGATATTTCTCATTTTCGTTTGAGAATAACTCTTGGACGAATGATCTATAATGTGCAACTTACCCTTCAACACTCCGAATGCTCGTTTGATATCCTTTTTTGCTGTCTCATTAGCTTTTTTGTACGTTTTCCATTTAAGACTTATTGGTTCTGAGATGGACTTGACGATGGTGGAATAAGCTGGATATATTTCATTGAAAAGATAATATCCATACTTGTAAAGCGTCCCTCTAAGATCAAAAGACGAGTTGGTTTCAGTCTCATTAACTCAATCGTCAAATACGGGAAACTGATCAAGAACATTGATGTCCTTGTTCAAGCCCACAACATAAAAAAACATGTCAAACCCACAACTCAGTTGGAGCCACTCTTTTAGCATAATAGTAGGCTTGGATGATCACTCCAGGAGAAATGACCATGCGGCGCAGTGAGACGATTTTTGACGATTTTTCTATTTCGAATGTGTGCAATCGATGCGCCCAAGCATGCCGAGGAAGCCGTGTTTAACGGCATGCCTCACCTGTAATTGCTCAATGTTGCTCGTCACCGACTTACGTAAATACCTCTTATTATATAGTCGAATAATAGATTTAGAAAATTAATAAACACATGACCTGATATTTCTTACCGACATTTTCAAGTATTCATTGAACATGTCACTAATGGTCCTGTATGCAATCTCACGAGCGTGGCAGTGCACTTTTGGACAATGCTGAAACTGCACCGCCCTCTCGTATCAAACAGCTGGGTGAACCAAGGCACCTCACATTCAATATTGGCAAGTATGCGTAAAAACAAAGAACGGCTCATCCGAAAATGATTACTAAAAGCCTCCGGTGTGTTGGAAACAATCTCTTTATTATAACTGGAAAATAACTCAAAACCAATTACAATAAACTCTCATATGTTTCTCATATCATAACCTAAGCTTGGCTAAGATATATATATAGAGCTAACTAAGCCTATAACCCATAATTCTATTCCTACTAGAACTATAACATCTCGGGTAATCCTAATCCTACTCGATAATTAGTCAACAATCACCCCCCTAATTTTCGAGTTGGATTTCGGGTGATCTTCAACTCCAAGCATGTCTTCTTTATCTTGATTCTCCCGAGGCTCTTCATGATCCCTTGCAGTGTTCTTCAGGCTCCACTTAGCTTGAACAAACACTTGCTCCTTGCGATCATTACTCGTCCTTCCTTAGGTTAGAATCCTTTTCTTGACATCTCCTTTAAACTCTTGAACATTCTTCCTTGGACTTTGAATTTTGGGTTTCTCCATTAAACTTGGATCTTCGAGAAGATTCTGACTCGTACGTCGCGTACTTTCTTTCAGTTGATCAACTCTTTGTAGATTCCTACCCACAAAATTCTTCATTCCAATCATGCTAACTTGTGTACTGGGACTTGCTATCTTGAGATTGATCTTGTACAAACAATTTTTAGTCCTCGTCACCTTCATCATATGCTTCCCCGTGTCATCATGAATGGTTAGCAAATCGCACTTCATGTGAATGTCGCATCCACCTTCCGTTGCTTGACCAAGGCTTACGATGTTGCTTTGTAGGCTGGGTATGTAGTACACATCGGTCAACAGGGGCTTCTCCCTTGTTTTCCCTTCAAGTAATACAGATCCCTTTCCTCGTATGTCAATACAAGATCCATCTCCAAACTTCACATTTCCCTTGACACGTTCATTAAGTTCAAAGAAGTAAGCTTGATTACCCGTCATGTGATTCGATGCTCCGTTGTCGAGATACCAAATGTCTTTCTCCTTTGGTTCAACCTCGAAACGCTTTGGAATCACCCCTTCTTCATTTAAAAATACATTCTCTTGATCACATCTCATCATGAACAAAGATGGATCCAGAACATCAATTTCAGCTAAATTAGCTTCCTCTTGTTTCTTCGTACGCTCTGGGCACACTGATGCAAAGTGACCGAATTTATCACATCGAAAACACTGAACCTTTGATCTATCCTTTCTTCCCTTCTGACGATCATTGGTTCTTCTTTGACCCGTTCGCTTTGACCCATGATCTTGACCATCTTGGCATTGACTTCCATCTTGGTCATCATCATCCTGGTCTTGGTCTCTTCCTCGACCTTGGTTGCATCGGCTTTGTCCTCTCGATCCGTTTTCTCCCCTTTGAGAACGAGAGCTCTCACTATTGGAGAACAATAGTTTACTTTGTGTTTCTATATCCTCTTCCTTGATTCTCTCTTCGTAGGCTTTCAACCGGCCTATGGTTTCTTGAAATCTTAGCTTATTCAAATCTAGAACTTGCTCCAACGAGGCGACTATATGAATGTATTTCGAACGAGGAAGAGACTTTAAAAACTTCTTAACCATCTTTTTTTCTTCGATCTCTTCTCCAATGGCTACGGATTTTGAGGCCAAACTTGATAACTTCTCAGCAAAATCATCAATTGACTCTGAATAATGCATCTTCAAATTATCAAATTCTGCATTTAGGGTTTGGAGACGAGCTTCCCTAACCCTCTCAGCCCCCAAGTGACGAGTTTTGATTGCATCCCACAGATCCTTCGCAGTCTCCTCATTGCCTACTTGCAATATCAAATTTTCTCGGCATCAGCTACACCTGGTTCAATCGTTTCCCACACCTTATGAACCCTTAAAACAACTTTTATTCTCATGGCCCATACGGTGTAGTTCGTAGCGTTTAACATGGGACATTGGACAGTTGTAAGCCCAACTCCCTCAACCTTCGGCTGTGGTGTCTCAGATTCTGTCATATTTTTCTTGCGTCTACTGTATGTCACGAGTGGTGTAGCAGGATCCAGTACTTGAGTATTTTAGTGTGATTTGATTAAACCTGACTTGTTTAATCAAAAGACTTCAACGGTTGCTTCTTGGTCAATTGGAGACACCCTGCCTCGGTATGAATGGCCTCTCGTTCTGCACAATGGTGCGATCTGGACGACAACACCAATTTGGACGGCGACTGCTCTGTGCATGGACGGCAGCAATTTCACCGAGACGGTGGTTTCAGATCCTTCGGACGGCGACCTATTGTGCGCGGTCGGAATCTGGACGGCCGTGTGTGGATGTTAGATCTGATTCACGACTGTATCCGGAAACGCAGGGGTGGTTTCTTCTGTACGGCTGCGATTGAAGCGAAAACAGGGACGGCGGCGGCGATACCTCTGCTGCTAGGCGGTGGGGGGACCTGGGCTGTGGCGACTGGATGCGTCGGCGCACAGACGGATCAGCGGCTGTGATCTCCTTGAACCATCGGCGTCAATGTGAGGACGACGACGACTCCTCAACGCGGCGCGGCTCCTCAACTCGGCAGCGGCGGCAGGTCTCTCAGAGCGACTCTCCCTCAGCGGCGCAGACCTGCGCGCGGCTATCAGTGGCAGTGAGTTCAATCTAGGATTCGGACGGCTGCGACGGCGGCTCCAACCCTAGGCTCGGATCGGCACGGCTGCGACGGTGGTGACAATTTTTTTTCTCCTTCAATTTGTGCTCGTATTGAACAATCTAGCTCTGATACCAATTGTTGGACACAATCTCTTTATTATAACTGGAAAATAACTCAAAACCAATTACAATGAACTCTCATATGTTTCTCATATCATAACCCAAGCTTGGCTAAGATATATATAGAGCTAACTAAGCCTATAATCCATAATTCTATTCATACTAGAACATCTCGGGTAATCCTAATCCTACTCGATAATTAGTCAACACGGTGTGTATACACGTGCAGTATTGAAATAGTGATTGAGTAGTGCTTCGTGAGCAGGCGCACGATCACGGTTTTAATGCTCACGTCGGATCGAGGGGGGTAGGAATCCATTGGTCATGAAACCGAGCCGATATATTTTAGGATTAGTCATTTGCGAAAATAATATAATAATGTCATTTTAGTTTGTAAAGTTTTAGATATAATTTTTAAATATATAATTTTCTTTTTTATTTTACACTTCAAATAAATTGAATCAAAATATTTTAAGTCAAATCGCATAAACTAAAAGAGAGAATATTTTAACAAGAAGGAATACTAACTTTAAAAATAATTTCTACTCCCTCTATTCCTAAATATATTATAATTTTTGTAAAATTTTTGACGTAATTTTTTAATATGTAATTTTTATATCTTATTGATATAATAATTTATAAATAAAATCATTTTAAAAAGTAGAAAATTTTATTATATAACTCACAATTTATAATCAAATTAGGGATGAAAGATTATTTATGTCTTCCCTAGCTGTGGTTGGGCCAATTTTGAGAGCATCTAGTACTATTTTTTAAGAGCAATGCTAGGGGTACATCATTTGGTGTACCCTATTTGTCCCCCACCCCCTTCTCCATCACCCATTTTTATCATTTTTTTATTTATTTAATTTTTTTAAAAATACTTGTCCATTTATTTGGTGGAGGAGGGGTGAGGGACAAATGACCCCTAACATTTTTCATTTTTTAAACTCCCCCAATTTGATCATTATTTAGTATTTACTGTGCAAACACGGCGGCTCATAGAGAGGAGGAAGGCGTACGGTACGGAAGCGAGGGGTCCCACACCTACAGGGTATGGATTGGTGGGCATGTGAACTGGCCACGAGGAAGGAAGCGTAAAACGACAGATACCCCTCCTTTAACTTTCATTCTTCTTTCATCTTCTTCTTCATCTTCCTCTCCCGTCACTTTCCCAGATTTCTAATCCCACCCCTCTTTTCCTCGTAGCTATTCACTTCTCACCCCCTCCCAACACAAAAGAAACTTTATTTTTTTAATTGTTTCGTACATAGTACACACACACAAACAGACCCAGTCTTTGCCAATTGCCAGCCAACCCATACACAGTTTGACAGTACGGAAAAGGGCGCTATAATTATGTATGCGCCGGCAGGCGTCCAATTCTTCACCTCATTTTCAACAACAATTTTTATAGAAAGTGAAATTAAATTTAGCTGCGGGCGGCAGAACATGGGAGGAGGAGGAGGAGGAGCAAGAAGAAGAAGAAGGTGAAAACAAAAAAAAGGTGACCCTTTCTTTCTTTTTCTTTTTCTTTTTGTTTGTGTTTCGGACCAGATCTCTATTTGTTGCTGTGATGTGATCTTTAGATGTCCAGATTCGTTTAAGCTCTCTGCCAATTGCTTTTTTATTTTGATCTTAATTACTAGAAATGATTGATTCATTATCTGCACAAAAAAACAGATCCAAGTTCTTTTCTTTTTCTCTAAAAAGCTTATCTCTTTGATCTCTCTTGTTAAACTTTTCATGTATGTCTGCTGGTTTCTGCCCCCCTTTTTCAAAATTAATTGTTGGGTTTCTGATCAAATCTGGGTTGGGCGATTCTTTGGTCAGCTCTTCTAAAGTTTAAATTTTGGCGAGATGGAAGAATTGAGTGCTCGGATTGCTTCTCCTGTGTTGAATCAACTTGGTGGATGCTTGCCCCACTCGATGGCTAAGAAGCGCAGTTTGCAGTTCCAGCCAATGAACCCTTTGGCCACTTGGAATCCCAAGTCTTGGGATTGGGACAGTAATAGGTATATTAATTGAATCAATTGTTAAATGTAAATGCTAAGCTTTGTGAATGGCCACAGCAAGAATAATTTACAAGAAATTAATCCAGGTTTCTTGCCAAACCTAAAGAGTATGAAAGGGCAGAATTACAAGTACGAGTGGATGAGAACCTCAGTTTGAACCTTGGAGGTTCCGGGTTGAATTCTGTGGAGGGGATTGCATCACGCCCTAACAAACGGGGCAGGTCTGGATCCCCTAATGCTGTTAATTACCCTATGTGCCAAGTTGACGAGTGTAGAGAAAATTTGACCAGTGCAAAGGACTATCATAGACGGCATAAGGTTTGTGAGCTTCACAGTAAAGCTGTGAAGGCTCTAGTGCGGGAGCAGGTGCAGCGATTTTGCCAGCAGTGTAGCAGGTATGGGTTGTGTGAATTCATATATTCATATGAAGCTGTTTTTAAAACAATGTTTCAAATATGATTTGAAGCTAGTTCAATATGATAAATTTATCTAACCCAACTTGCGAATTGTTTGCCGGTAAGATTTCATGTTCTGCGCCACTAAAACTGTGCCAAAAAATGCACCTTGACTTCCAAAATGAATCAGTTTTAGAATCCCATAATGTGTTTTTGAAATTTTGCCAAACGTCTAAAAAATGATTCTTTAGCTGATGTATGACTTTCAAAAAGCTTTAACAAACGCTCTCCTTTGAAAGGATGCATTGATTAAGCAAGACCACTTCTTTTGAAGCTAAATTGTGTTGCCATTCTGGGAATCATATACAGTATATAATTTGATCATTTTATTCTTCTCAGGTTCCACCTGCTTTCGGAGTTTGATGAGGGCAAGAGGAGTTGTAGGCGCAGACTTGCAGGTCATAACAAGAGGAGGAGAAAATCTCAGCCAACAGATGACAACACCTCACCTAGGCCATCTATTCCAGGAAACAATGGCAATTCTGAAAACCACAGCAACTTGGACATTGTCAATCTGCTAGCAGTTCTAGGTTCTCCACATGGTAAACACTAATGAGTTCACAATTTTTAAAATGCATTTAGTGTTCAAAAAGCTCATGTTAGGGCTTGTTTGGTATTGGTTTCTTTGTTTGTTGAAACCTAAAACTACTACCAAAAAAACTTAAATGGTAATCAATTTTTTTCTTCGGCAGCTTCGAAGCTAAAATGTATGGTATACATATGATTGATTTTTTTAGTTCCGTATGCAATCTATATCATATAAATTTTTAAAATGGAAAAACCAAAAATAAAAAAAATGTATAAATACAAAATGGGCACTTATTCTTCAAGAAAGGGAATGGTGTAATGTATTTGCATGTAATTTCAGGGATTAATAATGAGGGAAGGAGTGCTAATAGGCCATTGGTACCTGATAAAGATAAAATTATAGAGGTTTTCAGTAAAATGAAGACATTACCGTTGGCAGATGAAAAGTCGCGTGCTTCCGGGAGAGACTTTAAAGATTGCAACATGTCTTCTCCATCAACTCTAGACCTGCTTGCTCCACTTTCAGCAACACCTCCAGCACCAGCGATGGACATTCAATCTCAACAAAGTGGCAGTTACCAATCTAGCGGTGATACAGATTTTCATCACGTTCCTGAGATTCGTGGTCCTCATTTACCATTACAGCTTTTTAGTTCTCAAACTGAAGAAGATGATAGCCCGCCAAGACTCTCAGTTTCTGGAAAATATTTTTCTTCTGAGAGCAGTAATCCTTCTGGAGAGATGTCGCCTTCATCCTCACCTCCTGCAGTGTGTAATCTATTCCCTATCCCGGTTTCTAATGCCAGTAGTAAGGAGGAGCATACTCGGGAGAATACTATGAATTTTAACGCTAGTAAAGCAAATGGTTGTTTTAAGCTTTTTGGAGGTTCAATAAATGGAACAGACGTTGTTAGCTCTACTCAAAGTCCTATTGCATATAGAACAGGATACACTTCTTCGTCTGGCTCTGATCATTCACCATCTAGCATGAGCTCTGATCCACAGGTATATATGTCAATATAGTCTCTTCTACTGACTGCTAACAAAAGATCATGTTAAGTGTGTTACTCCATTTTATTGTTTTCACAATTTAAATATATTTGCAATTGGTCTGAATCTCAATTTGATTCTTGTATAGGATCGTACTGGACGCATAATATTTAAACTCTTTGATAAAAATCCGAGCCACTTGCCTGGGACACTTCGAACGCAGGTGTGAAATTTGGTTAATTGTTTTCCCATTGATTATCTTTATATGTTACTGTTTGAGGATGTAATGATTTTTTTTTTGTGTTCCAGATTTACAGTTGGCTTTCTAATATTCCTTCAGAAATGGAGAGTTATATAAGGCCCGGTTGCATATTTATTTCGCTTTACTTATCAATGCCACGTTTTGTTTGGGAACACGTGAGTGAAGTGCATTAGAATGTTTTTTATTAGAAAAAACTATGTCTACTTTTATAGTGGTTGATTCGTCTGAACATTTGTGGTGGCCATGTTCTCTTATGTAGGTCGAAGAACATCTTTGTCAGTATGCGGATGCTCTGGTTAAAGATGTTGATCCTCAGTTTTGGGCTAGTGGGAGGTTTTTAATTCGAACTCGCAAGCGAATGGCTCTGCATAGAGATGGTTAGCATTCATGTGTTAATTTTATTCCAGTAAAAGAATTTAGTTCAAATGAAACAGATTATTACTTTCCCAATGTTCCATGATGGTTAGTTACTGAAGTAAATTCTGTGGCATTTTTCGGAGCAATGAACAGATTGGTCTAATTACATGTTCTACTCTGTTGAAAAGTAATATTTAAATAATATGATTTCGAATCAATTTCTCGCAACTTTTTCTTAAGCTTGTAGATGAAATGGCTTCACAACTTTAGCATACTCTTTCGACAAGTGCTAGGCTTCTTATTATGTGAACCCGGCAATTTTCTTTCTTTTCTTTTTTTAAAAAAAAATCTAATCTCTTTTATCTATATGCTATTAATATGACAGGGAATGTTCGGGCGTGCAAATTATGGAGAAAGTGGAAGTCCCCAGAATTGATATGTGTCTCCCCATTGGCAATTATCGGTGGCCAGGAAATTTGTCTCACGCTTAAGGGGAGAAATCTAAACTGCCCCAACATCAAGTGTGTATACTCTTTTATGTCCCCTTTTGTGTCTGTGTTATTCCCTTTATGTATGCTTTGAAGGAAGAAGGTTTACTTTTGTTTAACATTTCAGGATTAATTGCACGCATGCAAGTGATTACACTATAAGGTCAGTTCATAGCTCGGCAGGCCAAGATACTGCCCATGATGAGATCATCCTTGGCAACTTTGTCATTCATGCCACGTCTCCTAATCGACTTGGCCGCTGTTTCATTGAGGTAGTGTAGTCATAAACATGCTGCTCGTTTGGTTGATGGGATAGTTTTTTCTCTTCCTATTTTATTCCCAATGGAAAAATACTCCTATGTTTGGTTGGTAGGGGAATATATCTTCCCTTTTGTGTTGTTCTTCTCCCACTGAGGGGTAAGAAAAAAGGGAGTGTGCTAGGACAAAAGATACCCATGAAAAAATTACACACTTTTTTACTAAAAGTGGGGATGTTGTCGTCTACTTTCTAACGAAACAAGACTAAGAATTTTGATTTTGTGACTTTCTGTTCTTTTCCTTGGCATTTTCCGCTCCTCCATTCCCCAAACCAAACATGGTGAAAGAATACATACTCATTTCCCTCTTTATTCCCTCCTCCATACCAAACGTGCTGTAAGTTGTGGGTTTTAGGAATATTGGTTTGACATACATATCTTAATTCAGGCTGAAAATGGATTGGGAGGAACCACCTTTCCTGTCATTGTATCTGATAGTGTGGCGGTGTGTGAAGAATTGAGGCGTCTTGAATCTGAAATACGTGAAGTTCCCAAGAAAGTATTGGAACAAGAAAACCAAATGGCCACTGGGTCCCGGGAGGAAGTGGTCCATTTTCTAAACGAGGTCGGATGGTTGTTCCAAAGAAAGCACAACTCTTCCATGCATGATTTCAAGATCAGGCGGTTCAAATTCCTATTAATTTTCTCGGTTGAACGTGATTTTGTTGAGGTGGTCAAGACACTTTTGGACATTCTGTTGGAGATTACATTGGCTAGAAATGCAAGTAAGGAGTCATTAGAGTTGGTTTCTGAACTTCACATTTTGAGCAGGGCTGTTAAGAGGAAGTGTCGAAAGATGGTCGATTTGCTTATTCATTACTCCATATGTTACGAGAAGACCTCTGTCCATTATATCTTCACCCCAAATGCCCCTGGGCCTGGCGGCATCACCCCTCTGCATTTAGCTGCTTCTACATCAAATTCAGATGACATTGTTGATGCTCTCACTAATGACCCCCAACAGGTAATTTTTGACTCCATAATTTCTGACATTTGGGAGTTTTTTTAAATACTAATTACTCCAACTACCTGCTCTATTATGGCAAATACAATGCTTAAGAAGAGTCTTACAAACCACACAGAAACTTATTTGGAAACAACCTGGATCAAATACCAGTAAAATTAGGAAACTAATGCTCTAAGGATTTATCACTGAAAACAATATAGTAAATTTATGAATATTGGTATGCTTGTTTGATTCTTTGGGGCGTCCATGAGTCATCGTGTGTCTGACATTGCTGAACTTTCATAATTGAGGGACTTAAATGCCCTTTGTTTTGCGTGGTTCCCCAGTTGACTCAGGTGATTATGCACTTTTTTCTATTGCTTGATGATAAAGTGATGTTTATATATATGTATGTATATGTATAGATGGGGTTGGATGGATGGAATTCTTTGGTAGATGAGAGTGGTCTGTCTCCTGGTGCGTATGCCACAATGAGGAATCACCACTCTTACAATGCACTCGTGTCTCAGAAGCTCGCTGACAGAGAAAACAGGCAGCTATCTGTAGTGATTGATGGAGGAAATGAAATAGCGGATCATGTCTGGTTAGAACTGGAACAGCAGGACCATAAACCTCTTCCTCCTCCTCTTGCTGCTGCTGCTGCTGGTGGTAAATCATGCTCCAAATGCGCGATTATGGAATACACCACGACTCGGAGGGGGGTCAGAGGTGGTCCCCAGGGAGGATTGCTCTGTCGCCCGTACATACATTCCATGCTTGCCATTGCAGCGGTGTGTGCATGCGTCTGCATCTTGTTCCGTGGGTCCCCCTATGTCGGTTCCGTTGCCCCCTTGAAGTGGGAGAGCTTGGATTTTGGTCCTGTTTGATCTGCTGCTGCTGCTACATGGCAACTGAAAAATAGTTGTGGATCTTACCTGGGTGAGGGGTTCGTGCCACGCTCTTGTATCAAAAGGACCATGCCACAGTCAGTTTTACACCAAGTGTTTCTCTGATATGTGCAACCATCCCGAGTCAAACACATAGTGTCAAAGTCTGGTGTTATGTTAAATAGATTTACCCGGCCATAAATTAAAACAACTGCTGCAATGTGCTGCTTTTTTTTTTTAAAAAAAAAGTCCTACCCCTGGTGTGTGTGACAAACTCGTGATGTTAGATGCGCGATGCCTGGCCGCGATGTGGGCGGAGGAGGATGGATATGTCACGGTGAACACGACTGGGGCCCGCACGAATGACATATACAGAAGAAGAGGTAAACCAACCACGATTTGTTTAATTACTACTATTGTTTGTAGTCTGGAGCCATGTACTTGTTGCTGTTGTTAATATGAGTATTTTTTTATTTATTTATTACTCCTTAAAAATATCACACGTTAGTCATTCTGGTCAGGCTGGCTACTCCCCGTTTGAATTGAAATGCAGTGATTGTCTTTTCTGCAAATTGAGTTATAAAGTTTCCAAAAAATAAAATAATCCCGTTTGAAAAGACTATCCGACAGTAGCCTGTATCATTAGCGTTTTTAGAACTAATCTACATTATTAAAATTTTATCCAAAATATTACTAACACTTATTGAAAATGATGTTCCCAAATAAGGTCTAAGAAATAGGAAAACTGGTCCCGGGAGAGTTGAAAATATAAGCATTGAATGTAGATGTCCGCTGTCATGCTTGTGCTCCCAGTCTAGTCTAGATCGTGGGAGGATAGGAAGGAATCTTTGACTTTAATTAAATTAAGGGGTTGTTTGTTTCAGCCTCTTAATGGTTCAGATGTCTGAATGATTCAGTACTTAATGGTTCAGACTGTTTGTTTCAGCCTCTTAATGGTTCAGATGTCTGAATGGTTAAGAGATTTGCCTCTGAATGGTTAAGTATTATACAGAGTCTAAATGGTTAAGAGCTGTTATCTGAATTGATCGGACATTTGCCTCTGAATAGTTAAGCAATATACTAGCTCTTAATGGTTCAGACCTCTTACTGGTTCAGCACTTAATGATTCAGACATCTTATTGGCTCAGCACTTACCCATTCAGAAGTTGCCAAACAGCCCCTAAAAATGTGCGGTATTGTTTACTACCAACGACTTAGTTACTCTCACCTTTGAAAGGTTCCATCATTCTGAAGTTCACATAACAATTGTGAATTTTTCTAAAACTTTTTTTATGAGCTTACAAGTCAGTATTTTATCTTTACAAAAAAATTCAACTTTTACACGATACTTATGTACTCAAATATATAAAATGGAATTACATAAGAATTTGCCCTTTTGGAAATGTAACACTATTAGTATATAAGGAGTAATTAATTGTAAAATTTTATCAAAGACCTTGAGGTCCAATAATATCAAATATCAAAATGACACTTCCAAATAGGAGCTTATGAGTTTTAATCTCCACTAAAGTTTTACAATTAGTGCATTAATTAGTGCATTGATATGATAAAAATTGGATCTTTTACAAAAAAAATTACTTGTTAGCTCATGAAACTATCCATTAGAGATGAGATTCCCACCTTGAAAATATAATATTTTCAAAATATTTAATACAACAATTTAATATAACATTTTTAAAATATTAATTTCTCTAATTAATACTCCCTCCGCCCATAAAGATGAGTACGTTTCGACTAAAGTAGAAATTAAGATAGGAATAATTTTGTGTTAACTTTTCAAAAATATTCTTGATGTGATGGGTAAAGTATGATGTCATGTGTAGATTATTAGAAAAAAGGAATGATGTGATAGGTAGAGTACGTTTGAAAAAGTAAGGGGTAAAAGTGATTTTTTAATAGAAATGGGTAAGAGATTGTGATACGCAATTTTTTTGAAACGTTAAATCTTTTTGCGATGGAGGGAGTATATAATTTTACCTCCGTCCTAGAGTATTTGTCCACTTTCATTTTTACACACCATCCAATACACTTCTTTAATCCATTTTATCTTGTAATTTGTATATTAAAAAATTATACTCCCTCCGTCCTGAAATGTTCTTCCCACTTACTATTCATACGGTCAAACTTTAATCACTTTCTTTACGTATTTTCATTAGGTATTTGATAAAATAATATTGTCTTGTCACCACTTGTTTTGTATAATTTTTGATGTAGTTTTTAAATATATAAATTTTATTTTTAAATTTTACACCTACAATCAAATAAATTGAATTAAAAATAAAGTCGGTCAAACTTCGTAAACAGAACCGGGAAGATCATTATAGGACGGAGGGAGTAGTATTTATATATTAATAATTTATATGTTAAGACAAATCAAACAAGATCACACATGACTATATTTAGGCTTACACATTGAGAGAATTTGATGAGTCAAAGTTTTTAGATGAACAGTTTCAAAAGTCAAAATTGGACGAATACTCCGAGACGGAGGGAGTATATACATAATATTTTTTAAAAATAAGTTGAAAATGGTTAAATAAAAAAAGCCTGGCCAACGGAGTAAGTACTTTCTAGGGTGACGTTCGGCCGGTGCGGCCAGTGACGACATTGCTTGCGTCACAAAAGCAGGACCGGAAGCTGTAAATATACGCTGTACGCGCCCACCGGCGTCTCTCACTTATCATTTATTTACAGATAAATCCGCAGCCTACACATTGACCATAGTGTTAATTTAAAAATCAAATGGGAAGCTGTATCTCCTCGTCGTCGTCGTCGTCAGGAACTCGTCGTCACAGCTCCGCCGACGCCGACGTGATTCTGTCCAACGGTGAACTCCGCCAGCTCTTTGTTCCCGTCAAGGCCTCCCAAGTACTAGTAATGTTCTCCGGCTCCGCGGCGGCGTCTTTCTTCCTCTGCAACTCCGACCGCCTCTATTTCGACGAGCACATCCCCGCGATGGGTGCGGAGGAGGAGCTGGAGGCTGGTCAGATCTACTTCGTTCTCCCCGCCGGCAGGCTCCACCACCGCCTCGCCGCTTCCGACATGGCCGCTCTCGCAGTCACCGCCAGCGCCGCCCTCAAGAACACTCGGATTCGCGCTAAACCCAGCAGGATTTCGCCCGTAACCGGCCTCGGCAGCGAATCCACAACAATTGTTACTAGCCGCAGCACTAGTAATAATAATTCTTCATCGGCGGAGAAAATGAAGCTGCAAAGATATTCGTCGTCTTCCCGGCGGGTTAAAATGGCGGGAGTTCGAACCTTCAGACTGGTGACCATTAACGAGGGTTCGGTTCTGGGTCGTACGTCGTCCTCATTGATATACATATAGATCCATATATATATATATATATATATATATATATATATATATATATTGGTTCAGGTGAGAATGCAATCTAATGAAAGAAATAAGAATGAATCTGGTGCATTAGATTGGGAGATCTAAAAGTTAGGATTGCATCAAAATTAGGTGCACCAAGATGGTTTGAAAATGTATCATGTCGAAATGCACCATAATTCTTTGAAAATGCACTATATCAAAATTTGAGTGCAGAATGCAATCTGAGCCGCACGATGCATCAGATCCAAAAGCCAGATTTTATTCTTATTTCTTTCACCAAGGTGCATTCTCACTTGAACCAGCCCATATATATATATATATATATATATATATATATATATATATATATATATATATATATATATATATATATATATATATATATATATATATATATATATATATATATATATATATACACCTTATTCTAAATTCAAAATAAGACTATTGAGATGGGCATTTTGACGGAGTCATAAATAAAATATTTCACGTCACTTTATCCTTTTAAAATTGTAAAATATTCCTCATCCTTGGTATGTTGCATAGTTTTTCGTGTATGTGGACGGCACTTGACGGAGCCCTGTTACCCCCATTCTTCCGTCTCTTGTTGTTTTTACGTTGCCCCCTTCTTCATCGGCTCATCGCAATCACAGCGCTGCCGCGAAAGGAAGATAAGCCACCAACGCCGCAGTGGTGATGTCATGAGACCGTCGATCCTTTGAGTCTACCCCCAATTTGATTGTTCACCTTTTTTTCCTTTCAAAATCCATAATTGACCCTCTAAAAAGTAGTTATTTTTCCCTCTTAGAGGTTTGGGCTTTCATGGAGTCACCAATCAAAGAGAGAATGAGACTTTGGGGATTGTACACCATCACATCTAAATATGCTCTAATTTGATTTTCTCATCTTCTAAGAGAAGAGCTATTGCATTTTTTGATTGAAGATGGAGAGGTAGGGGAAAAAAATGAAAATGGGTTTAGTGAGAAGAGAAGATGAAATAGCATGCTTATTTGTTGTTTGATAGTCATATTTATCAACAAAAAAATAAGTGAAACAATTGATTTTAAAACTTTCTCTTAAAAGGACAATAGATTAATCATTTAAAGACGGAAGTTTTTTTTTGTATCCTTTGATTGCTCGCTTTTGTTTTTAAAATTTGTGAAAAAACTAATAATTCACTTATTCATGTAGGAATCTAAACATTTGTCTTTGCATAAATTCTAAAAACAAAAACGAGGAATAAGTAAAAGAAAAGAAGTAACAAAATAAGTAACAAAATAAAGAAAAGAAGTAACAAAATAAGGAAAAGAAGAAATGAAAAAGCCAAAAAAAAAACGGACGGAAAGAACGGGGAAGGAAAACTTTTAACGGACCGCTAAGCTCTGATTTACGGCGCCCTGGGGGTTGAACAGGCAAATAACCCTAACCGGTAGATCGGAAAGCAAGGAAGCAAGCTCATTCCCCACAATCATCACCGTATCTGACAAACGCCGCACTCGGAGTTCCCTCCCGTCTCCGTCACGGGGGATTCACCACTCTCTTTCTAACCATTTTATCACACTACATTACTCCCGCTGCGCATCTTTCCACGGCGATCTCAAAGCTCCAATAAGCCTGAAAATCGCGTTGTGGAGCAAAAGACCGAACTATGGTGATCATGCCAACCCTTCATCATCTCTTTCACAATATTTGCTTAATTGAATACGAGTATCATTGCATTTTCGTATGTTTTTTTCCATGAGACAGAGTGGAGAAGAAGCTTCTAGTGCTTCGAAACAGAGGGAGCTAGAGCTTGAAGAAAGTTTACAGTCTCAGCCAGATGATCCTTGTCTTCATTTTGATCTGGGGCTGCTTCTGTGGGAGAAGGCTGCCAGCAGCACTGGAGATGAAGAGACCAGGGGGAAAGCCGCAGAGCAGTTTCTCATATCTGCAAAACTCAACCCTCACAACGGAGTTGCTTTTCGGTACCTGGGTCATTATTATGCCAGCTTCGCCTCTGACCCTCAGAGGGCTTTGAAGTGCTACCAGCGAGCCATTTGTCTCAACCCTGATGATTCTGATGCTGGGGTGAATTTTAAACCCTGCCTTTACCGATATTTGGGTAAGATATTCAATATTCACGGGAAAGAAAATTCTCAATGTGAATGCAGGAAGCTATGTGTGAAGTACTAGAGGAAACTGGAAAGGAGAACCTGGAGATAGCTGTGTGTCGAGAGGCATCCGAAAAGTCACCCCGTGCCTTTTGGGCTTTTAGCAGACTTGGTTACCTTCTGGTGAATATTGATTCTATGTCTGTTTGCCTAGATCAAATCCCGGTCTCCTCCTTACTGCTTTGTTTCTTTCAGGTCCACCAACAAAAATGGGCTGATGCAATACCCAGCCTCCAGCATGCTATAAGAGGTTATCCCACATGTACTGATTTGTGGGAGGTCGTTTTTACTCTTCTCCTTTTCAATCTATTTTTCTTCTAGTGTGTTCCAGTCTACCAAGTGATCAAGCCTCATGGCTGCCTTTCTTCCTTTTCAGGCACTAGGTCTTTCCTACCAGCAGATGGGTATGTTCACTGCTGCTGCTAAGGTGATTATTTGTTTTTATCATTTTTCTTTCTATGAAAATTTATCTGTTACATTTTTATTAGACAATGATTTAGTCTAAGATATGCACACTGTTTGGTTTGGATTAGGTTTTCATTCTAATTTTAATTTCAGGGATTTGTATGAAATACCAGTGCTCTAAGAACTACAAAACCTTGAAACCAATAGCTCTCTCTCTCTCTCTCACCCTCATACACACAGCTTCAATAGCGACCCATTAGGGAAGTTGTGCTACCCCGGTCAGAATAGTCACACACAGATATATCACTTTTAGAACGTTAAAGAAAAAATAAAAAAAAGGGGAACCATGAATATCATCTATGGGCCATAAGATGCTCAAATGCATTCCTGCACTATGTGTCCCGTGTTTCTATTATCCAATACAATTGCAGGATGTCAAAAATAAATTCAATTGCAGGATGTCAAACATTGTTGTAGCTTGATAGACACTTCTAACTTGTGTAGTTGTATCCAATTCTAAATGTTATAACATTTTATCTATTTCATGACCACACTCTATGGACAAGGAGTCAAATAATTTGTCGTTAGCATTGCGTGATCAACTGTTCATATAACAACACATTGTTTCATTGAGTATTACATATCTTTTTCTAAACATAGTATCATAGGAGTTTTTTAACATGTGAATAGTGCTTTTAGTGTGCTCCAGGCATTGTGAAAGTTGTGTGGTTGATGCAACTTCATTTTTATGGAGGACAATTTTGGGAGATAGACTGAGCTTAAAATTTCTTACATTGCTTATTTTTTTGGAACAGTCATATGGACGAGCAATTGAGTTAGACGAATCAAGAGTTTTTGCTTTGGTTGAAAGTGGGAATATATTTTTGATCCTGGGAAACTTTAGGAAGGTAAAATGTCACTTTCTCGTCTTATTTTTTTGAAATAGGAGTTTTTGTTGTACTCATTTACTTTTCTCAACATATGGTGAGAACTCTTAGAATGAGCTGTGTGTTGGCTGAGATATTTGTTCTAGGTTGAACTTCTCTTTTGATTTTGATAATTCTTCTTTACTAACGTTCTGGGCTCACTATGGTAAATTGCGATTATGTTTTGGAAACACTATAACTGCATTTTTTCATTTTAGAATTTAAGAAAACAACATGCATTTGTGAACTTGTACTGCAAAAGCATGCTTGTAGACTCGTAGTAGCATAGATCTGGCCTTTAGATGAAAATTTAAAACACATTTAAACTAAATATGCAACTATACAAGCAAATCCTTGAACTTGCACCAATCCATTTTGTATATCTTTGCAGGCAAGTTTCTAAAAATTCTCTTAATTTAAACAAGATATTTAGCTTCTAACTTTACGTTCTTTCTGTTATTTCTGTTGTCTCTCTTTTCATTATATTTCTGAATGAAGGGAATCGAGCTGTTCCGCCAAGCCATCCGAATCTCACCTTTCAATGTATCTTCTCATTATGGCCTTGCATCTGCAATTTTTTGTTTTGCAAAGGAATGCGTAAGCTCTGGGGCATTTAGATGGGGGGCTTCTTTGTTAGAGGTTGGACATACATAACAATCTTTTTTCTCAAGGACTTCAGTGGTGCCTCTTCTGTTTTTCAGATCTTCAACAGGTTTTATGATTTTCTGAAGTCTAAATTTTAACTCTTTTAGGAGGCATCTAAGGTGGCTGTAGCATGTACATCGCTAGCCGGTAATATCTCATGCATATGGAAATTACACGGGGACATTCAGGTATAGGTGTTTATTTACAAAGATGATGTATGATTACACTACCTTCTATTATGATATCTTCATTTGCACACCTGTAGTCAGTGCCCAAAGAGAATATATTATTGCTAACCTATTGGAATATGCATTGTGTACTTGTGAACTTAAAGAGTTGTCTGGTGATGCAAAAAGCTGAAGTGTTTCCCTAGGAATGTAGTGCGGAGAGTATAAAATAGGGTGGTGTTGCTTTTCAGTCAACATGTGAGTTTTCACACCTTACTAAGACTCCCTCTACATGGCAAATCTGTATTGTTTCTTTACACAAACCTTTTTCCGAAGGTCCCATGAATGCAAACGGTCTTGATATCCAATTGATATAGTTCAAGCTTGAAAGGTTAACCAGGAATATTAGGACATATTACAATGGTAAAGATGCAAAAAGTGTGACTTTTCGAATTGGAATGGCCTTACCTTTGAACCATAATCAATAGTTGTTGTTTGAAATGAATAATAGACTATATAATTGGAAGAGTTGCCAAAAATGTAATAACTGGTTCTTGAGCCAAAGTTCCAAACAAAATTAGTCTGTAGCAAGAAATCAAGAATGCACAAGATATGTTTGGGAAAGCCGAGGTCCTAGTATCTGTAAGAATCAGAACTTGTGGTTTAGATTGTGCTCATTGGCTAAACTTGATTTAGACCAAACACACTTAGGCCTTAGCCTGGATTTGTTCTCAAATATATGTGCCAAATATTGTTACTAGGGTAAGTAGGCAAGAACAAAGGCTATTTTAATCTGAACATAATGCAGAAGTGAGAACTTCACCCCTGGCTTGATTGGTAGGAAGCTCACTCCCTAGGACTCATGGGGAAATTCACTTAGGTTAGAGACCTAGTAGCGGCGTTGGCTCTTTGTGCGTCATTAGGTTGAGAAAAGTATGAATAAATACTACATTGTCTGTAGCACTTAAAAAAATATTGCAAAAGTGAAGAACAACAAAGAGGCGTTAGGCAAGAAGAATAACACATTAGACCCTCTTTTGCAGCTTATCATGCAATTTCAGACCAAATGTTATGGATTTTATAATGTTGCAAGGTTTTATGATTGGGTCCACATACTTCACTTAGTTCACTCGTAAAAGAATAGCAAGTCAATATTAAGATAAGCCATTATTGGAGCACACATTGTATCAGAGAAAATAAAGGAAGTGCTTGGGAAACTAATGTGACTGCTTTTGAAACTTCAATGGAGCATTCAAGTGAATGAAATCAATTTCAAGTGAATGAAACTCTATCGATGAATATCAAAATTAATACATTCAAGCGATTCAACAATTATATTCTGTATTGGTTGGTTTTTCTGACATTGCTTGCTCTAAATGAAATCAATTTTCCTCCCTAGCTCATGTACGCAAAATGTTTCCCTTGGATCGATGAAGGATTTGGCTTACAATCAAATGAGAAAGCTTTTACCAATTCGGTTCATTCCTGGAAGAGAATCTGCAGCATAGCTGCTATATCAGCCAGCCGTTCTTATCAAAGGGCTTTACATTTTGCTCCTTGGCAAGCTAACTTGTATACTGATGTTGCTATTGCATTAGAGCCCTGTTTTTCTTTGAAGGAGAGCCATAAAGACGATCCAAATGTTTGGTATTCATTTTGTTTCATCAATTGATCTTCTGTTTGTACTTCGCACGTATTTCACTTATATCTTTCTTGCTTCTTTGATAGGTCACGGCCGGAGAAGATGTGCCTTGGGGGGTTAATGCTCGAGGGTTGCAATCAGGAATTTTGGGTGACTTTGGGGTGTTTAACAAATGACACGATGTTGAAACAACATGCTTATATAAGAGGCTTGCAGTTAGATGTCTCTCTTGCCGTTGCGTGGGCAAACCTTGGAATGGTAATAACTTAATTGTGTTGTTAAATTCTAAAAATTATTCTTATCCTTTTGTGTTGTTAATACTAGGCGAGATTAGACACTCAATTTGACCATATCCTCCAACCCCCCCTCCCACTCGCACTCCCTCAGTCCCTTGGCTTCAAGTTTGATTATTTCACATCTTCACATTAGTTGCAACTTATACTCCAATGCCTACAAATTTTTTTATTACTATTTTTTTGGTATGCACAGCTTTATAGGAAAGAGGGAGAATGCCAATTTGCACAAAATGCATTTGACTGTGCAAGAAGTATTGACCCATCTCTTCCACTGCCATGGGCTGGAATGTCAGCTGATGCAGATGTGAGGTAAATTGTGCTTTCTATGGTATACATCTAACTAATGTGCCATCTTTTGGATGAAATTTGAATTTGCATGTGCTTCTTTTTCAGAAATCTGAAAGAAGATGAGGCATATGAGTGTTGTCTCCGAGCTGTTCAAATTTTTCCGGTATTAAATATTTTTCTCAGTCTGGAGCTGTGTTTTTATACATACATGCATGCATGCATGCATGCATGCATGCATGTATGTATGTATGTATGTATGTATGTATGTATGTATGTATGTATGTATGTATGTATGTATGTATGTATGTATGTATGTATGTATGTATGTATGTATGCATGCATGCATGCATGCATGCATGCATGCATGCATGGATGGATGGATGGATGGATGGATGCATGCATGCATGCATGCATGCATGTATGTATATCATTGAAGAGGAAATACCATGAAGTTACCATTAAAAGGGAAGTTTTTTGCAACATTTTTAAAACCAACTGCAGAGATTTCATTCACCATTATTCTGTTTGTGTTTCTCATGAAAGTTTATCATCATCAGTGTTATGCATTTTCTTTTGTTGCGATACAACTTAGACTTTATCTTACTGATCACACACTAATGAGTATTTTGTGGCACTGCAAATGCTATAATATTGTCCTTAAATCTATTTTTTTTTATATATTCCTCTTTAATTGTTTTCAAGCAGCTGGCTGAGTTTCAAACTGGTCTGGCTATGCTTGCTCTACATTCTGGTCATCTTAAGTCCTCAGAGGTATGTGTCTAACATTGAACTTGAGCATATTTAGAGCGAAGCTATTATCTAACCCTTAAGGGTGCAGGACACTGTTAATTAGAATCTGTTGCAAAAACCAAATAAACAAATGAGAACTGATTATTGAAAACTTGTGCTCCAGGTATTTGGAGCTATCCAGCAAGCTCTGCACCGTGTCCCCAGTAATCCAGAATCACATAACTTGAAGGGACTAGTTTGTGAGGCAAGGCATGCTTATCAAAATGCTATTGCATCATATAGACTAGCACGCTATGCAGCACGCATATTCGGTGGAAAGGAATCAGAGACCTATCTAGACAGTATATCAATTAACCTGGCCAGATCTCTTTGTAAGGTAACATCCTTACTATATTTTTATGTATCTCTTTGTGGAATGATGAAAATGTGTACTTGAAGCATCGCGAATGATCTTCCGGTTTAATCGTTTTACACAATACAGGATGGAAATGTTAATGATGCTGTTCATGAATGTGAAGTTTTGGATAAAAAAGGTTGCTGTTAACTGTAATCAGATCTATCTCTTTACCTGTATTTTTTGTTGTTAGAGAGAGTAAAAACTTTCTATTTTGTGCTTTTTATTTACAGATTGTGAAAGAAAAATACAGCATTTTGATGTTTTTAGATGCTTCAGCATCAGAAATTGTCCATGAACTACAAATACTTATAGATGCTATTTGATTGTTACTTCGATTCTCTGATCAAACTACCAATAATAGTTTATAATTGATTTTTTCTGGTTCAGAAGCGTGCAGCTTACTTTGAGATTATTGTTTCTTAATGATACACCAGGTCTTCTTGATGCCGAAGGTTTGCAGATTTATGCACTGTGCTTATGGAAACTTGGAAAAGATAATCTAGCTTTATCAGTGGCAAGCAAACTTGCCGCGAATATATCATCCACGGATAAGTCAATGGATTCTGTTTCTATTAGTTTCCTTTGTAGATTGCAATATCAAATTTTAGGGCAGGATGCTTCCATTTCATTTTTAGTGAAACAACCCAAGGGATTATCACAGAGTCCAAAATTTAGCCTTGCAGCATCAGCTGTTCATGCATTAGATCCCAAGAATCGGCTTGATTGTGTTATTGCAAGTGCTCGCTACTCTGTTGCTTCAGTTGAAGAGTCTTCTGCACTGGATTTTCTTGCTGTGCTGGGTGAACTAGTAATATTTTAAGTTGCACTATGTGTAATTTTATCTTTATGTGCTGAACTGCTGATGCTAAATAATATTTTTTTTGCTTTTGGTGTTGCAGTTGAAAAAAGGATCTAGAGATTGCCTTGGATTTAAGAAGGGACTTCAATACGTGTGCAAGTCACTTCACATGTCTCCCAACAGCCACTTGATAAGGTTATTTCAATGGTTTCAATTCTTGTTAGGTGGGCCAGATGTGCTTGTTAGACCACGTGTGTTGGGGTGGTGGTGTGTTAGCCTTATTGGTATACAATGATTTTTTGTGTTGGTCATATACATGATATTTGAGCTGGCATGGGTAGATCACTTGCTCAAATATGGGATAAGTTGGCAATGGATCTCAGTTATTGTTTTCAAGCTTGCTTGTGTATACTTCTAAAATTTGGATAATTTTGTCATTTTATTATTGTGATTTTCTGTAACTTCAGAATTTTTTTCTTCATGACACACCGTCATTTCCCATTAAAGCTCACGTATTTAATGTTTTTTTACCATGATCTCTCAATTTTATGCATCTGCTTTGGCTTATGGTCAACAGGAATCTTCTTGGTCGTCTCCTGTTATTTAGCACCAATGGGAAAGATTTTCATGCTTCTACAAGATGTATTATCAGGAACCCTTCTGACCACCCAAATGCAGATGATAGAATATCTGCACTTGAGATTTTTGGTGCTGAGGGAGTAGCTTGCCATGCCTTGCAGTGCAGCGAGTTGTCACTAACCAACTGCAGAGGGAAATCTACATCAGGATGTAACACTGTGCAGCTGTTGCAGAAGTGTGTTCTTTTATTTCCTTGCATCTTGATATCTTTCATTTCTATAATGATTCTTCTCTTTCCAACATCTTATCTGATGCTCAATTTTGTTGTTAGACTATATAATGTTTTTGTTTTCATTGTTGACGTAATTTCACTTATTTTTTTCTTCACAGTGATTTGCATCATGAGCCATGGAACCAAACTACGCGGTACTTGCTCATAGCCAACATCTTTCAAAGGGCTCGGAGGGAGAGATTTCCTCATCATCTTTGTGTAGCGCTTGATCGGCTAACAAGTGTTGTGCTTTCTAATGAACTGTATTCAATAAAGGACCTTCCTCATCAGTATCAGAAGTTCCAGCTTCTACTTATAGCAGCCGAGGTCAGTCTGCAAAGTGGGAACTATGTAAACTGCATAAAGAACTCTAATAGTGCTTCAATTCTGTCCATACCCAATCAATATAACTTCTTTGCGCACTTGCTTCTGTGCCGTGCTTATGCTGTGGATGGGAATTCTGTTAAATTGTCCGAAGAGTACTTAAAATGCTTGGAGCTCAAAACTGGTTGCCATATAGGTTGGATCTGTCTTAAGTGTGTTGAATCCCAGTATAAGCTGCATACAGATTCCACTGCATTAGCTATAAGATTTGAAGAGTGTTCCAAAGGTGTAAATCATTCATGGAACACGTGGCTAGCTATATTCAGTTTGGTGCAAGGTCTGAGTGCAATATGGACAGGAGATTTCTCTGGCGCAGAAGAATATCTTTCACAAGCTTGCTTATTAGCCAGTGGAGAGAGCTTCCTATTTCTTTGTCATGGTACTCTTTCACACTGCACACACACTTTTGTTTCAGAGTGTATTTTTATTTTCTCTGATGAGTTTTTTTTGTTTGTTTAAAATCGAATTCAGCTGCCATCTGCATGGAGCTTGCAAGGCAACATTGTGATTCAAAGTTTATAACTATTGCTATTAAAAGTCTTAATAAAGCCAAAGAAGCTACTCCAGTTTGTATGCCTTTTATCTCGCTGTTGTTGGCTCAAGCAGAAGCAAGCCTTGGATCAGAAACAAAGTGGGAGAAAAACGTTGTTGAGGAATGGTCATCTTGGCCACCAGGTCAATCTTTACAGTTTTGTTTTTTAAATTCTACACCAATTTTCAAATATATTGAGTAAGTAATTGCAGTCAATTCAAGCATCGTAAACCAAAATAAAAACCTTATTTTGGGGTGGAGGGATCATCATCACCATCACCATCATCATGTTTATAGCACTAGTTATTGAAGCTGATTTATTGTCTGATTTTGTGTTATTACCTGGCCCTGCCAATCAATCGTGCAGAAATGAAGCCTGCAGAAGTCTTCTTCCAGATGCATTTGGTTTCGAGGTTGTCATGGCAAGGTGGTGGGGAGAGGCTGTTGGAGGGCTATGCAAATTCCATAAGATGGATGCTCCAAGCCATCCACTTGAACCCGTCTTCGTCTAGATACTGGAGAGTCTTGAGAAGTTTATTGGGTAGCAGCAAGTGACCTGTTAGGTTAGATCAAACAACATCTCTCTCTCTATGTAAATGGCTTCTTCTACTTCTTTGACC